GTTTTAGCTCTCTTGGGTTTTTGTTTTTTTGTTTTAAAATTTTTAAGAATTAATTATTTTTTTAAAATACAAAATCAGAAGTCTAGGGATACAGCTCAATAGTAGAGCTCTTACCTAGAAAGAGTGAGACCTTGGATTGGATCCCCAGCACCACAAATGATATTGCCAGGAATAAAAATCACTTCATAATGATAAAAGGGTCATTTCAGTAAGAGGACATAATAATCCTAAATGTTCAAATGAGTTCAAGTCTCCAGCACCCATGTTAAAAGCTAGGCATCACTGGAGAGATGGCTCAGTAGTTAAGAGCACTGGCTGCTCTTACAGAGGACCTGGTTCAATTCCCAGCAACCACATGGCAGCTCACAACTATCTGTAAAAGCTAGGCATGGCTTCTCGTTGGTGCTGCAAGATGTAGAGATAGGCATTTGCTGCAGCTTGCTGGATGCCAGCCTACTTCCAAGTTCAGTAAGATACCCTGCATCCAGGGAATAAGGTGGAGAGTGCTAGAATGGACATGACACACAGTGTCTTTGTCTGGCTTCTGCATGTGTTCTGCACATATACACTATACAGAATCACACACACAAATTATATATACATAAAAATTATATCTATAATATATATTAATACATTAAGCAAAAACTGATGGAACTGCAAGGAAGAAAAATACACAATTTAGAAGTTGGTATCTTTCTCTTAATAACAGATAGAAAAATAGTAAAAAAAAAAATCCAGAAGACTAAATAGTATGGAAAATAACATTGATTTATATTTAAAGCTACACTGAAAAATACTATTAAGAAACTTGACATGGTGTTATTTGTAGAGTTCTCCACTGCCCAGTACTGTATGCATTCATCTCGTGTATACATGAAGCATTTACCAAAATGAGCCATAGCTTGTGTTACAAATTTGAAAGGACTCAAGACATACAAAGTATTTTCTCTGACCACAGTGGGATTAAATTCAAAGCCATTAACAGAAATATTGCAGTATTTTGAGACTAAACCATCAATGAATCTGGGCCTTTAGCCACTGTGCTCTGTAGGCATGTGGGGAGACAGGTTTTATGGAAAAACACAAGCTCATGGAACCACAGAGTCCAGAAACAGTGTAGTTCCTACCTGCCCTCTGTGCCAGTGCTGATCTTGGTGTTTGAAGCTGTTTCATTTGCTCTTCTCCTTTTATCAATCTTTTATGAGTGTGCAAAATAATGGGTTTCACTATGGCAGTTCATGCCCCCATTATCAATGTGCTTTCCCCTCAGCCTCCTTCTCAATCTGAACAATGGGGAATAATGGTTTTCAACAGTATTTGACCTCACCTTTTGGAAAATAGTACAACACTTTCTTTTTAGGGGATATATTTTCACAAACGGTCTGTGCACTGTCAAATAGAAATGATCGGTCTGGCTCCTGGCTTGGCATCTAAAACTGATTTGAAAGATGTTGGATATCACTGAATAACAGGCAGTTATGTTATCCCATGGGAACTGTCTCCATGGATCACAAAGATTAACAAAGCCAGCCACAAAAAATTCACTTTGAAAATAGTATAAAGACAGTACTTTGTTCATCAATACTAGATACAGAGTGTATGAAATACTAGTAATGTGTTTCAGTAACAAACACAAAAGGTATTACAGGAGCAATTTCTAGAAGGCTCTGCAGTCATCAGGAAGTCTTTAGCAAAGATGTGGGTTGAACCAGGAGAGGATACAGATGAATGAAAAAAATCAACCCTAGGCTTGGTACACAGGTTTTATTTTGTGTAATTTCTGAGCATGAATAATACTTACGCTACTTTTTAGAAATCTTTTCCCCTACAACTGCTAAAATAACTGAATTATTACATATAAAGTAAGTTCTGCTTTATTTGAACACCATAATCTACTTTATATAAAACTAGTCTTGCCACCTAAACTACCTAACAGTTTATTTAAAAACATAACCATACACTTGATCTGAATTCATCTTCTCAATGGTAACTAATATAGTTAAGTAGATCACTGTGACCATGGGCTTATTTATCATTTCACTCCAAGTCAGATCATGAAGGACTTGATGGCTTTGTGCTCTGGTGACACCTTGTCGAAGCATCCCTGAGTGAATTGTATTACTGGTCTTCCTCAGCTTGTACAAATTGAAAAACAAACTAAGAATGGTCAATCCCTCTTCTCCCATCTACTGTATTGCTTCTCGTTCCCATTTCCCACTAAGTCTTTTCTTTTTCATCATTCTTCTCCCGTAGTAGTCCAAAAGTGAGAGGACCTCACTTCTGCTCATCCAGGGCACCACCTTTTCCTTCCCAAATGTGCCCTTTGTTTCCAAAGTCACCTCTTCTCTATAAACAAAATAAAGGGAATTCCTTATATAAAAAGGTCCTTCCAAAGTCCTCCCATCATCTGGTTTATAATTTACCCCGTCCCACCTACTTTATGTACTTAGTTATTCCCCAAGTTTGAATAACCAGTCCACATTTTAAAAGATATAGTCTGTCCTAAAATAATTAGTGGTATCTATCAATTAATCACACATGTTTCATTTCAATTTTACTATTTGATTCTTTAGTGCCTTGGTAGACATTTTGTCCCAGATAGCTCCAAAAATGTTTAAGGTTCTGAGGATATAGTTTAGTGGCAGAGCTCTTTCTAGTGCACATGAAGTCCTAGAGTCAACCCCCAGCCCCATTGCAAAGCTAGAGGGAAGAGTGGAAGGGAAGAGGGGAGGAGGGAAGAAGAGAGAAAGAAAAACATTGGGCAAAAAAAGAAAATGGTGTGTGGGCAACTTATCAACTATTAACACTTAAAATTCTGCTTTCCAAAGATTCTGGATAGAGTTTCTTTCTTCCACATGTTCTTGACTTATCCATCCCAGTTTTGCTGAAGCACAGTAGTCGAATAGGGAAAGTCAGGAAGTCAGGATGAAGAAAGGTAAAAAGTGCCATACACAGCATTCAGACTACATCTGGCGCAGAGTTCTGGCCAGGGGAAAAACAGGCTGGAATGCAGCCTGTGCTGTGTTTACCAAACACACACCTCATGTGAGATGTTTTCCTTTAAGGAAAGGGGTGCCTTGGCAGTCCACACAAAAGTGTCCTATAGGTTGGTAGTGGCCTAGAAAGAAGTTCATGTGAAGAGTTTTCATTATTTAATTGATGCATTGAGAAACCACTAAAAGGATAAATAATCTGTACTTTGTGAAGAAGACTGTGTCATACACAACATGGACTGGGGAAAGGCCAGAATGGCCTTTATCAGAATTAGAAGAGTGGAAAGACGGGTGTAATAAAATGGGGTAAAGATCTTGTGTTTGGTGTGGAAAAGAGGGGTGGCTGGGACGATGCTGGTGCTGCATCCAGACATAGGCAAAGTGAGGTTTCAAAATAGGCTTTGGGGCATTGTCTAGACTTGTGCTCCATGCAAGTCACCTGTGAGATAGACATCTAGAAGCAGGTGGTCAGGAGAATCTCATCTTCAGAAAGTTTTCTTTCCCCTCTGAAGAGTTCTGAAATGTCCCTTCAAGGTCACCAGTAACCCTCCCCCAAACAATGTAGAAATGTATTTTGAGAGATCCAGAATATCTCCTCTTGTTTTGTCTACACTTTACCTTTGAGCAATCCTGTCCTCTGGGCAGTAAATCCTACCGACCCTGGGGCTAGTCTCTTAGCTCACTTTGCAAACTTTCTGTGTCCTGCTATCTCAGTTTCTGGGATCTGTTGTGAAATTCAGGTAGACCTCTTCCTTCCTGTAAATGACCACTCACACAGTCCAAAGCAGTCAGGCTTGGCAGTCTCTTCCCAGGTTGCCTGGCATTCACCACACCCCATAGAATTTAATATCCTGGCGAGGCACAGTGTAGACCTGAAGCTGATCTGTTGCTAGGTTCTTATCTCCAGTCTCAGAAGATGAAGTCTGCAGTGAGTGACTCTGTTACTCACAGGTGTCTTGTCCCTTGCTCATGTAGACAGAGCCAAAGCCAGTTGTTAAAAGCCACATTGAGGAAGATGTTGGCTCAACTACAGGAAAAAATGTTCAACCCTTAGTGCTGTCTGAAATGGAAACTCCTGCAGGGGAAGGAGTGAGTTATGGTTTCTTGAGGTGTGAGGCGCTGGGGAACCTCCTTCCATGTCAGTTCTGTGGTCAAGACCACAGGGCTGGCATGTGGAGGTAACCTGCACTGGCTGTTGAATTCTTGCCCCTGCTGTAGCCTTCCATAGATGTTCTGCCTCACTTAGTCCCCACAAAAGCCCCCAAAGGAACTAGTTATAACTCCAGTGGGAGAGGTCTGGTCACAAACTGAAGATCATACAACTAACAAGTGTCAGAGCCAGGGCCAAGACTCATGCCATCTCAAACTGAAGTCCTTATGTTTTCCATGGTTCACAGGAGCCTGAGAGGCTGAACCACGGATTTCTAAAGTCCCTTCCAGCATTGTGATTCTGTCTGAGTCTACATGTGGCTGTGGACATCATTGTCTGTTTTCCCTTCGTCCTTCTAGCCCCACCCACGTTAAAATGACAGTCTGTGACTTCACACCCCACTGAGACCCTCCATCGAGACAGAGCTACTTGAATCTTCAGCATTTGTTCTTTTTTTTCAGCTGAACAGAATCTAACCTCAATATGGGAGTTGAGGGTGTTGGTTTTGTTTTGACGGTGCCCCCACCCCCATGAGGACTTGAGTTAGCGGTGTAAATGATTAAGCTTTTAGTCATTTCAAGTATATGTGACTCAGCTCTTGGTAGTTCTAAAAACTGCCATCTCTACTGAATGGCCAGGTTTTACTAGACCATTCTACCAGTTACTAGAATATTTGGCTCAAGGTCAACTTTGAGGGGCTAATTTCTAAGTTAACATTTTTAATAGTAGAAATTTTAGAATACTTTAATTAAAAAACTTGCTGTTTGGCTCTTGTAAAACTTACAGTCTGAAAATGCATTGACTGTGCTTATTTCAAGGTACAGTGGCTTTCTGTGTTTTAACATTCTGTTTTCCAGATTGAAGCTGAGCTCACCAAGGAAAGAGCCAGGCATCTCATTGAATGCCAAGAGCAAGCTCTTCTCTTTAAGAAAGAAGCTAAACTGGAACTCGACATTGAAAAAGAAAAACACCAGGAGATAATCCGGAAGTATCAGCAAGAACAAGAGAGCCTCCAAATGAAGGTCTGTCGCCCATGTCTGTGCCACTTTCAGTGGACCACAAACCCCATGCTCCCCTTAGGCATGCCTCCCTTTACATGACTTGATAGTCTATTTGTGGTGACCACACCTTCGTTCTGCCCACACAGACAAATGGATTGGTGTGCCTGGTTTTCAGAAAGGACACTGGAGCTAAATTACAAAAGCACACAGCCAAGCTCTGCTTATATTTGTTTTCTACTGACATCAAGTTACCTCTAAAACTGATGGCACTGCATGACTAATAGTCCAATATCAAAAGATAACAAACTATTTTAAAATGTCCTTCCTAGAGTTCAATCTTCTTAACTAAAAATATTTTTAATCTTAATTAATTCCAACCATTTGGGGATGAGGAAAAAATACTATAGAAAGTAATGAGTCTGTTGAAGTCTGCTTTATTGGTTAGTTGTTGATTTTACTTCATTCAGAGATATCCTCCTGCCTCAGCCTCTCAAGGGTTGGGATGCCACCAAGTCAGGCAGACTGCTTATGCTTTTGTAGGACTTACGAGTAGAGAGGGAAGAAAGAAAGGGGGGAAAGGGGGACAGAGAGGCAAAGGACAAGAGAATGAATCAAAAATCAGTGTGAAACTAAAAAAAAAAAATCATTAAGAATCCATGTTAGAGCTACTCGATGGCTCAGCAGGTAAACTTGCTTGCCACTATGCCTAAAAAGAATTAATTTGCCGGGCGTTGGTGGCGCACACCTTTAATCCCAGCACTCGGGAGGCAGAGGCAGGCGGATCTCTGTGAGTTCGAGGCCAGTCTGGTCTCCAGAGCGAGTGCCAGGATAGGCTCCAAAGCTACACAGAGAAACCCTGTCTCGAAAAAAAAAAAAAATTAATTCAATCGGGCCAGGCAGTGGTGGTGCATGCCTTTAATCCCAGCATTCAGGAGACAGAGGCAGGCAGATCTCTGTGAGTTCGAGTTCGAGGCCAGCCTGGTCCACAGAGCGAGTGGCAGGACAGGCTCCAAAGAAGTACAGAGAAACCCTATCTCAAAAGAAAAAAAAAAGAAGGAGGAGGAGGAGGAGAAGAAGAGAAAGAGAGAAAGAGAAATTTAATCCCTGGGACCCACATTGTAGAACTAGGGAACCAACTCCTAGAAGGAAGTAAGGATATCCTCTTACTTCCACGTATGCACGGTGGAGTACATGTACTTACACACACACACACACCCAGAGAGAGAGAGAGAGAGAGAGAGAGAGAGAGAGAGAGAGAGAGAGAGAGAGAGGTACACTTTTTCTTGCGGATGACTCAAATTCAAATCGAAGCACCTACTGGTGGCTCACTACCCACTTTAACTCCAGTTCCATAGGCTCTAACCCACTCTTCTGACCTTAGGCACACACGTGGTACACAGATATCCATGCAAGCAAAACACCTGTACACTTAAATAAATAAATCTAAGAAAAAAATTTAAAAGAATCCATGTTAATTGAGCACCAAAAAGACTCAGGGCCTCTGTGTTAGTGTAACAGCGATGTTCAGCGATTCTGGAATCCACAGATGACAAGGAGGACCAGCCCCTCGAGCACATGACACAGCAGTGCCTGGCCCCACTCAGAGTGCTCTGCAGATGCTTCTGTCTTGAAACTGTTGACAACTTCATCTGTGAATCTGGGATTTCTTTTAATGAATTCCTACTAACACAATGAAGCATGTGCAGGGGGCTTGGTGCCTCGCTCCCCTGATAGTCTAGCCTGTCCTAGCCAGGTCCTCCCTTCACTTCATGACTGCAGCTGCCCTGAGTAGCTTGGGATCCCATGGGCACAGGAATGCAAACAGAAGGATACCATTCCTTGAGAGAAGTCTAAATTCAAATTTTATAGGAGAAATCTGATTTTTACATGTTGACTCCCTTTTTAAAATTCAAACCTATTTGTGGCTCTGTGCTGCCCCTGTCACAGGACAGCTTGCTCTGTTTCACTGTCAGCTCTGCTCTGAGGGAGGGAAACCATTGTTCAGACCTAATGGTGGCCCCTTCCATCTTCTGGATTAGTTAAAATAGTAGAATATTAATTTCAGAAATGTTCATGGTGGTGAACAGATTTCTTCCAGCAGTTATTCCTTATGTAAATTTAACATTTGAAACAAATTTCTCATACATACCGTTTTTTAGCAGTGATCCACAGAGCTCTGGGAACTTGCATCTGTGGCCATCCCAGCACCTCTGTGGCTGGTTTCCCACTGGAACATGAGTAGAGGGCATTAGATGCGCACTGCACACCTGCTCTCCTGTTGTTTGCATGCTGCTGTCTTGGTGTTTTGTTTGTTTGGTTTTGTTTTTTTAAGACAGTAGCTCATACTGGTCTGGCACTTACCAGGAAGCCCTGACTGGCCACAAAACAGTGATTTTCTTGCCTTGGCTGGAATTTCAGGAATGAGCCACCAAGCTCGGCTTTTTGTTTTTTGAGGAGAAAAAAAGAGTCTTTATCCTTCTGGAGGTTGCGTGCTTTGAACAGAAGGTGCCCGAATTATTGTCTCCTGTCCCTGTGGGAGGAGGAGCACATTTGCACCCTGTCCTGGTATTCTCCAGAACTGCCATAATGACAGGTACAGTGGCTACTTATCCTTCAGTTCAAGTTACTCAAATTTAGCACTTACTTCTTCAGTCGTATTGGTTGGATTGCCGATTCTGTAACCAGCCTGGGTTTCCAGAGCCTACTAAGCATGTTTCCTCCCTGCTCAGTCATTTGTGGTGGCCGAGTGGCCATCTATTCAGTATATAAGAAAAAAACTACATCGCCAGGCATTGGTGGCTTTAATCCCAGCACTCGGAAGGCAGAGGCAGGAGGATCTCTGTGAGTTCGAGTCCAGCCTGGTCTCCAGAGTGAGTGCCAGGATAGGCTCCAAAGCTACACAGAGAAACTCTGTCTCGAGAAAAAAAAAAAAAAAGAAAGAAAGAAAGAAAGAAAGAAAGAAAGAAAACTACATCAAAGGCAAAGGCAGACTTGTTGTCTTGATATGAGTGAAATACAACTGGGGCGCTTGCTCTCATTCTGTGTCTCCAAACATCAGGCAGACACTTGGAGGTCCCCGAGTCCAGCCAAGCCCTCTACATCTGTTTGTGGAAAATTGAGTTACCTTTGGCAACTCAACACAGTCACAGAGATTTAAATATTTCCAAGGGTACCCAAGTAATTAATGGGATACCAGTTTAGTAAAAAATAAATAAAAGTCTGTGTTGACTTAAAAAATACCTGAAGGCCTACATATGTCATAAGATTTGCTTTTCATTGGTTAGAAAAACACACTGGTTTATTAGAAGAAACTTCTTAACAACAGCAAGAGCTCTGCAGCTCCCTAGAAACAGTTGCTTGCAAACTAACATGCAGTTTCTCTTACAGATAGCCGAATTGATCGCAAGCGCTACAAAAGACCTGAGGCTCGAAGTGGCCTCTCTCCACGAAAAGCTCCGTGAATCCCAGGCACGATACACTGAAGAGTCGGAGTCCAAGAAAAAAGAGATTGAAGACCTGAAAAGTGTGGTTGCAGAATTTGAGTGTCGCCTGAAGCAGGAAACCAGCCATGATGATTCAGTTTCAGAAGACTTGAAGAAGGAAATGAAACAGAAGTCAGATGAACTGGAAAGAGTAATGCTGGCCCAAACACAGCTGCAGCAGCAGTTTAGCCAGTCCCAGGAAGAGGTAGGAAGCAGATGACCCCTCAGTGAAGAGCAAGGCCATTTAAAAAGCAGACAAACAGACACAATTGTGACAGGCAGTTTGAGGTCAAGGAGGGAGTCACACAGCATCCCTTAGCCTCTGTGGGACAGTTCTGTCATTTTCAAATATCCTTAGGCTCTGAGAGTCTCATACATGCACACAATGTGTTTCTGATAGTCATGGTCATACACATCCCTTCCCTTCTTTCAACTCACTGATTGCCCCATGTCCTCTTCCCAACTTGGTGTTTGTTGTTGTTGTTGTTTTAATAGCAGTCCAATTAGTGCTCCCCACATGCACATGAGTGTGCAGCCATGCACTGGGACACAGGCCATCTACCAGGGGCCACACCCCTAAAGAAAACTGACTCTCTTTTCCCTAGGGTGCTTCTCAGCTAGGGATGGGAGGCTCACAAGCCCCTCCCACCTCTGTGCTGGAATGTTGACTGGCTTGATCCTGTGTGGCTTCTGTGTTTTTTTGTTTTGTTTTGTTTTTATTAGTTCAAATTAGAAACAAGCTTGCTTCACATGTCAATCCCTTCTCCCTCTCCAAGTTCAAGGGTCTGGTCATGTCAGGGAGAAACCCCAGTGCTGCGTCTTAGGCTCTTTCTGCTCCCTCTCTCACCAAATTCTGTGAGCCATGGGGCAGTGGTGTGACATAGATGTCCCATTTTGGCTGAACCCTGACTGTGAAACAGTTCTGTGTTGCAAATGATCACTTAAAAGCTCTGAGACTAGAGATCTTTACAGATTATACCTTATTTGCTTTAACATTAAATCTTTGTCAAAGAAACATTCAGAGCATATACCGCTTATGTTTAAAAGAAACTATGGACAATATAATGATAATTTGACTTTCATGTTTTAGAGCTCTGTCCAGTCTGAACTTCTAAGGCAGCTTATGTGCTTGAGTCTTCTGTCTTATGTGTGCACAGTTATTTCAACAGTGTTTTTAAAACTGAACTAGACTTGTTTTTATTGAGAACTTTTATCTCTGGCTTATTTATGAACTGCTAAACAGTTTAGAAACAGTGTAGCAATGAATTGTAATATTTGATCCCATTAATGGCCCCATAACAGATAAAGACAAATAGTTTTGAATGCTAGTGAAAAGCAAGACTTTTGTTGGCTTTATTGGCAACTTAATGAAGAAGTAAATGGAAAGTACTAGAAATAATGTCAGATATTAACAATAAACACCATTTTCTGGCTATATTTAAGTTGCTATGCAAAATGTGAAGCTTATGTCATCATTACAAATGTGAAATGAACTTATTATAAAGAATCATGAAGATGAAATATGGACTGGATAAACTGTTAAATAAGAACAATGGCTAACGTAATAAAACAGCCATTATTTGATTGTCAGAGGTGAGGATCTAACTCCCAAGCTTGGATAGTTTCACAGGCTCACACAAGGAGGGGGCTAAGATTCAAATTTGAATCTCTGTGAGACAAAAGTTCCTTTTCCAGGAAGATCCACTCTTTAGGAGTGATGCTGAATTTCAGGGTAACCTCGGGCGTAGCCCACAATATCCCGTAGTCCCTATCATTTGCTTTTACTCTAAAAATGAACAGAAACAAAGAAAATACACACAAAACACCAAAACAATAAATACAATCCAGCTTGCATTGGAGAGAAAGGGGCTACAGTAGGCGATGGCATCATGTAGGGGGACAGCAGCTCAGTCCAGTCAGGAGAGGAATGGGAACACCCTGGAGAATCTGAGGAAAGAATATGGCTGATTGGCTTCTGGTGGGGCCAAATTAACATCCCTGTGGAGAAAAGGGATCTAAAAGAGAGAAAGGCCATGCCACGGGGTTAACAAGTCTGGATCCCTAATAAAAAGTGACTCAATCAGGGGACAAATAGAAAAAGAGAAAAGGTCAAATTTTAAAAAATGTAAGCTATCATCTATGTGGATGCTAAGAACTATGCTAGATAAGTAGCAGTGTAATTATGAATAAAATAGCAACTGCCACTCCTACCTTCTGAGAAATGTTAAAGGAAGCCTTGAGTGAATAATTGAATTAGCATCCAGAATAAAGAATGACCTATACAGAAATTTATCACATGAAAAACTTGGACTGAAAGGTAGAGACACCCTACTCTAATTTATCACTACTTGACAAATTACCCCCTGAAGACAGTGACTTCAAACTATAAGAATTCATTGTCCCATTTCTTTTTGAAAGCTGTATTTGTTTATACTTATGTGTGCATATGTGTCTGTGTGAGTATATGCACATGGGTGCTTGTGTGTACAACTGTGTTCACCAGTGGGGGTCAGAAGAGGGTGTCAGGTGTCCTTTCCTGTCATTCGCAGTCTATCTGAGACAGAGTCTCTTCCTGAATCAGGGACTCTCAGTTTCTCAGCTAGGGCAACAAGCCCCAGCCATCCTCTTGTCCCTGTCCCCACAGAGCTGGAGTCACAGGAGTGTGCAGGACACGGAGCTTATTACATGGGTGCTAGAGTGCAATCTCAAGTCCTTGTGGTTGTAGAGAAAGCACCCCTAACCATTAAGACATCCCTCCAGCTCCTCAACATCTTATTTCTATGGATCAAGAAGCTGCTATAGTCTGAGAGAGGCTGGGCTTCTAGCTTCCTTGAATGAGCAGTTATAATAACAGGTCAATATTCTCGTGGGCTGTTAATAGAGAACCTGTGGCAGTTGGCCAGAGGCAACCCTCAATTCCATGCTATGTGGGAGAGTGGGGTCCTGGGACCATCAAAAATTTCTGTATTTATTATTACTTTTCTCTTGCTATGATAAAACACTGGGACCAAAGCAATTTATAAAAGAAAAAGGTTAGTTGGCTTACACTTCCAGAGGATTATGGTTTATGATGGCAGGGTAAGCGCGTGGCTGGAGCAGCCACTGAGGGCTCAGATCTTGATCCACAAGCAGGAGGCAGAAAGAGATATTGGGAATGGGGCCAGTATTTTGAAACCTCAAAGCCCACACCCAGTAACACATCTTCTCTAACCAGGCTACACCTCCTCATCCTTCGCAATCAATTCCACAACTAGAAACCAAGTATTCAAACACATGAGCCTACACTTAGATTTTCTAACCACATCCTCTGGAGGTAATGTTAGCAAAAGTAAAAGTGAAGAGTGGATTTCTTTAGAGATAAGAGAGCTAAGGAGAGCTCATCTCATCTTACTCCTAGTTGTGAAAGGAAGCCACTTTTAAAACAGTTTTCATCTTTTAAAATGTGAACTTCTAGGACAGGAGAGATGGCTCAGCAGTGAGGAGCAGTTGTTCTTCCAGATGACCGGGGTCAATTCGCAGAACCCATATGGCAGCTCACAACTGTCTATAACTTCAGTTCCAGAGGATCTTATACCTCTTTTTGTCTCCAAGGACTCTTACACACAACACACACAGTGCACAAGCTTACACATGCATACACCTAAAATAAAATATTTTAAAAACAAAACAAAATATAGAGTTCTGAAAGAGAGAAAGATATAAGGTTAGTATGTACATAAGAATGAATCATTACTAGAGGGGAGAAAGTATTGTTCATAAAACAAAGCTAGTAAAAGATATGTATGTAAGGAGAGGAAATTTCCTTTCATGGGAGGGACAAGAAGACGAGGTTTTTCCATCAGAAGTTACCAAAATGCCACCTCTAGTTAAATAATGAGAACTGAAGTATAAGTAAATAGCTAAGATTGTTTCTCTGGTTAAATAAGCCAATGTCCAGAGTAGCTTATAAAATAGGAAATTCACCAGTGAAAGTGATAGGATTTATGAGCAGAAAGAATGTGAGCTGTAAATAAAGTCATATCAAATGAAACGTTATGTGTGTTTTTAGCCATGTTCTATAAACACTTTAAGTTCCTCAGATTCTAGAGACTTTAAAGCTGTAATTACTTGGAGAAAAAAACTCCCTTTAGAATGAAGATAAATTAGTGTTCTCCTAAGGAAGCTAATTAAGGGGAGCAAAGTCCTATTCTCTTTCAAGAGGTCAAAGAGTGAGTGGAATTTGTTTTCAACTGTAGAAAGGGTAAGAAGGAGGCCAAAGCCTCTGAAAGGCAAACTGGGCCTTCCTCAGTGTAGTGCCTGGGGAAGTGACAACAATAACATAAGGCAGAACCCTTGAGAAGGTATAATAATGCAGAAAACAGGGAATGGAAAACAAAACTACTGGAAATGAAAATTTGAGAAGACTCCAAAAAGTTCTTCCTGGGGAGAAGACACACACACTAAAAAACTGGAACATTAAAAAACAGACAAGAGAGCGGGAAGTTAATGTTAGCAAGTAGCACGTCATTATTAGAGCCAAAGTAAAATAGGTCATGTATTTTTGGTACCAGTGGTCCCCTCATGTGAGTTCCACATGAATTCTATCAAGACAGCACAGCCCAGGGTAAGGGCTTCATTATGTTGTGATCTAGAGGAAGAGTATAGTTTTTAAAAAGTAGATCCAAAAGTAAACAGAGAGCTCAATCTTTTTGTCATTTTTAAGACCATAGTCAAGAGAGGGAGGAAGGGCAGAAGTTTCAAATCCTGCAGTGTTTGTAGCCCATCTAATGGTAGTTTAAAATGTTCAAAATTAGGAAACAGTGCTCTTAGTAAAACATGGAGAACAGAATGAGTGTGTTTAAGAAATAAAAGTGAATAAATCCATGAGGGCAAGGAAACAAGGGAAGAGTTGACACCTGATGAAAAAGATAAAATTTTGGAAAATGGAAAACAAATGCCTGAGAGATAATAGATATGGCAAAGTATGGAATATTGAAACCTAGTACCCATTGCAGGTGAGGGGTTCCCAAAGGAGAAACCTAATTACATAGTACAACAGGGGAGGCTGAGGGAAAGGAGACACAAAAAACTCTGAAGAAGGGATCAAAGTGTGTAGGCAAAAACAGGACTGATTGAGGGTAAAAAGAGCAAATATATTCTCAGGGACCCACTGTGCCTGGTATTACTGCCCACAGGTTTTCTTTCTAGCTGAATTGGATGAGAAAGGCACCATATGTGAAATCAGAGCATGGGATATAAGAAGAGCAGTAGTGAAGGTCTATATCGAAAATGGGAAACATCCCAGTCCTCATTACAAGCTCCTTTCCCAGAGTGCAGACAACAGGGTTATATGTAAGTAACCAGGAAGTTAGAAGAGCCGTCTCTTAAGCTCTACCTCAAAAGAAAAGACCCATGTATACTGGCCATCAGGGTGTCTAAGGCAATGGCTGTATCCATGCCCAGTCTACCTACCCAGAAGTGTGCTAGCCAGCCTCCCTATCCAGACACACACGGATCATTTTGGGAACTCATTTTTTAAACATTAACAGCCAAAGACCACATAATATTTTAGGACTGTCTTTCATATAAAGGACTGCAACCAGAAATAAATGAATGCATAATTAGCCCAGCCAGAGTTAGTCACCAAATGTGTTGACTTGCAACGTTTTCCTTTTTTGGAGCATTCGAGTGTCAAAATTGTCGCTGAAGGATTGTCCATCTGATTTTGCATGCACACACCTGTTTTGTGGTTAGGCACTTTGCCTTGGCATCCTGTGTTTGCTTTTGCTTAAAAAGAAAGTACAAGTTACTGCTGTGTGCTGCAGCCTCAGGACACCGCAGGGAAGAGGCAAGGAGAATTTGTCTCCAAGTTATTAGCACAGTGGTGACCTTTGAGCAGGAAGAACTAAGTAGGGACCTATGTAACTTCCTAAAATATTTGGATCATGGATGACCTTAACCCTTTTGATATCTAAAATTTTTTCCAAGTATCAAAACTGCTTCAAAAAATTATGTAGGAAAGTTTGATAAAAAAAAAATTTCGGTGACAATGTAAGATGGAATTTTATGCATATGTAGCATTTGCAAGCACAAATAGCTTATTTTCAAACTAAGTGAATTTCCTTAGTTTAGGAGTATGTATTTACTTCAGATACATATGTAGTTGATACAGAGAAAATGGCATGTTCCTCTCTGATAATTCTGTGCAGGAGATTGAGAAACACAAGGCCAGTTAGTAAATTATCAAGAAGTAATCCTCAACCTTGACACATCATAAAAATATATTTTTAATTTATTTATTTGTTTTACATCCCAGTCACAGTTTCCTCCTTCTCTCTCCTTCCAGTCCCTTACCCCTCCCCAACCAGGCTCCTACCCCACAATTCAGTCCTCCTACATTTCTGTTTAGGAAAGGGCAGGTCTCCCATGAGTACCAACAAAACATGGCATATCGAGTTGCAGTAAGACTAAGCACCTCCCCATGTGAGAAGTAGGGTCTCAGAAGTGTTAGAGACAGCCCTTGTTTCCACTGTTAGGAGTCTAACAAGAGAATAAGCTACACACCTGTAGCAAATATGCAGAGTGCCTAGGTCAGCCACCAATAGTGCACACATTAAGATCAATACTTAATAAATGGAACCTCATGAAACTGAAAAGTTTCTGTAAGGCAATGGCCTGTCAAGAGGACAAAATGGTAGCCTACAGATGAGAAAAGATCTTCACCAATCCCATATCCAACAGAGGGCTGATTTCCAAAATATATAAAGAACTCAATAAACTAGGTATCAAAAACCAAATAATCCAATTTAAAAATGGGATACAGATCTAAACAGAGAATTCTCAACAGAAGAATCTCAAATGGCAAGAAACGCTTCAGCAGATGTTCAACATGCTTAGCCATCAGGGAAATGCAAATCAAAAGGACACATCAGAAAATTACAGCGTCGGGTTCTCTTTCAAAGAGTAAAGCTTTTAAGGGTCATGCTTAGGCTTGTCTGGCTGAGAGCAGGGACAGAGAGATGAACTGGGAACACAAGAATTTGGCCAAGAACCATGGATAGACATGGGTTCTGCTAGGGAGTCTCTACTTGTGAAGAGGGAAGGAGATGTCAGGACAGTGACGACTGGGAAGAAATATGGAGGCATTGCTTTGTTGTACTCTATTAATGGTGACAAGATATTAAAGTTGGATTCTTGACTTAGAAGAAGAAATCCTAAATAATGTGTGTCTTTAGGCTCTTCTCCCTCATCTTGAAAACTTGGTTCTTGAAGGCCATTCATTATTCTGAGAACTCTTGTCACTTACGACTTTTATTCTGATAAGCCTACAGTAGTTGGCTTTGTTGTGTTTGGGGGCATAAGCATATAATTTTAATGAAATCAGCCTAAAATCCATCTTCTTTCCTAAACTTTTATTTAGTTTCTTATTCCTATTTTACCTGAAAAACATTTCCTTTGTGTTTTTTGCAGTTTTCAGCTGAACAGACTAGCTGCACGGGAGCTAGGCACGTCTTTTGCTAACTTGTACTCATCTTTTAAGCTTCCACACTTTTCCCACAGAACTTCCTTCCATCTCAGTTGCTGCCCCTTCCTCCAGCTGGCTCAACACCCACTTTTCTGGGTTACACCTGGTTCGCATTGGTTGAAACTGTGTCATCTATCATTTCATGACTGGTCAGGGCCTCATTAGTGTAAAACATGAACAACGCCATCTGTGCTTATTCTTCAATGAAGACATCTCTCCTGGCATGCCCTCCCACCCCAGTTATGCCAAATACAGCTGATTCTGAAACATCATAAAACAGGGTCTTTACCTTCAGAATGGTCAGGTCACTCAGCAAAGCCTTTTCTTGCTTCTTCTCTGGGTTTGGAACTGAAAACACTCCATTGTCTCTAAGTGTGAAAAATGAAATAAATATAAAAACCAAGTGGGAAGCTGGCCACTTCTGATATTAGGAAGTTTAACTAGAGGGTGAGCTAGTTTACATTTTCAACTTTATACTTACCCACTCTGTGGGAGTACAAGTAAGCAATTATTTATTTTCAGTCCAATTGAAGCAGCCTCTCTTTGAGAATGTTTTGAGGCAACTGTAGACAGTGCTCAACACCAGTGGGTGGACTGGAGCCCCAGGAGCAGTAATTCTTCCTTCCCTAGGCCACACTAACCCTCTCTGAAGACTTTGAGCTCCCCCTCCCTCGCTGTCCTCTGTCTCACAGTGTCTTTCACAAAGCTGGCATGGAGAGCTTCTTTTCATGCCTGTGTGATTATGCCAGTGCCCTGCTTGAAGTATCTTCCCATGATCCAGCTGGCCCTCTCAGAGCCAAGTAAAAACTCCAGTGGTAACATGTTGCCAGAATTCTCATCTAAGTAGCTCACTTCCTCCTGCCTCAGTGCTGGTCTCTTCTGTGTTCATCAACTGAATCTTCCAGCAGCCATGTTCCATACGTGGAAGTGTCTCTCTTCCTGCTGCTTCTGCTTGGAAACCCCCACTTTCCCTTCTTTACCTGGTGCATGCCTGACTTCCAGTTCAGTTGCAATCAGTGATATTTCTTTACCATGTCATGGTAAATGTGCCCAACATAATTTTATCCATGACATGTAGAGGATGGTGGCTTCACAGATTATTTTCATGTTTACTGGTAATATTCAGTCCCATAAAGCATGTTCTATCTTATAGACTTACTCATGTCACTCTGTAAAAATAAATATTAAAAGTATGCAACAGCTAGTCATGGTAGCACATGCCTTTAGTCCCAGCACTTGGGAGGCAGAGGCAAAGGATCTCTGTGAGATGGAGGCCAGCCTGGTCTACATGGAGTTCCAGTCCAGCCAGGACTGCATAGTGAGACCCTGTCCCTAAAACAAAGCAAACAAATAAAAAAGAGTCTGCATAGCCCACACCCCTTGCCTAGTTGCTGAAAACAATATAGCCATAGGCCACGATTCTTTTCACATGTGATGGAATTTTTCACTGATGTGTCTACTGACTCTAGTCACAGCCACATGTCCATCATGCTGGCACACTCCACTCCTGAAATTGCAACTTCCTAAACTTTCAAATGTTCTGTTTCCATATTTTACGATACGACTGAATAAATTATAACACCTAAACTACTTGTGAACAAAACTGTTGTACTGTCAATTTAGGGGAAGAAGTTGTGACATCATCAGAGAAAATGAAGGTATTAGGGTATCGCCTAAGCAATCATAGTGGTTTTGGCACAGATAAAAGCCCCAACTGTGGATCCTATTTTCAGTTCAGAGGTCCTCCTGGTTTGGGAATAATAGAAAGAGAATTAATCCTTTGTTCTGAAAGCTAATAGCCTTGAAGGATGAGTTGCAGAGTGGCTGACTTCACACTGAGACAGTCCACAGCCCCTGCCCCCACTCACAGATCTTCCTCTCAGCCGGGCTGTATCCAGTAGGAGCTGGACTGTGCAATCTGAGAACTCCATGGCTGGATCAGCACACACTGGCTGGAAAGCACAGCCTGAAGTCCTCTGGCACCTCGCTCCAGCTGCACCTGCTCTTGGGGATGACTTTCCGTTCACTCTACCTTTCCATTCCCCCATGTCACTTGCCTGAAACCATTTTTTAAGGGACTTGCATTTGGGGTGTTTTCTGCAGATAGAGTATTGCTTTCTTGGAGGTTCAAATTCAAGTTTAGTGGGTTGATTGAATTTTATTTTTCTTTAATGAATGCTCCTGTCATCACCTCATCACTTTATCTTTTCATATTATTGCACCTATCCTCTGTACCACTGATTTGTTTACCTCATTGTTTATTGCTTTCCACAGGTTTTTTTTTTTTTTTGTGTGTGTGTGTGTGTGTGTGTGTGTGTGTGTGGTGTGTGTGTGTGTGTGTGTGTGTTTAATATTTCAGGGAAAACTGACTCCTTCTCGAAGTTTTCTTAAGCAGGGGTATTTTATACTAATTAGTTGAGAACCATTTAAATTTGATTACTTCTACACTTTTTTCCAGCTTACTGTATATATAGATAAGTAATGTGTATAGATAGCTAGTACTGTATATCTAGATGAATACTGTACATAGATAAATAATGCAGTGAACTCTCTTTTTAAAAGAAAAGTTAGATTAATAGAGTTAGAATTCTTGGGAAAATCAGACAAAAATGTCTTACCAGTTTCCAGCACCTTGATGTTCTAGGCATGAAAGGCACATGTATGCTTTTCATAATGAAGCAGACACCTCACACAGGCACATGGCTAGCGGGTGGCAGGGCTCTACCACTCTCGGGCTGACTGGCTCTTGTCTACTTATGTAACCAACCTTCTGTGTCTTTTTGTTGTTGTTGTTGTTAAATATAGCAAAAGCAGTAAATGTGATGGCTCTAACACAACACCTTATTAATCTTTCTTGTAAGCAGCTTGATACTTCCCTGACCCCAGCTTCCAACCACTATTCAGGTGGAGTTAATGAGAGCCAGATGACAAAGCCTAAATGCCAATAGTTTACAATTCCTCTAAGAACTAAAAACAAGCAGAATCAAATAATTGACCAATGGCTTAAAAAACATATGTGAACAGGGATCGTGTGTGTGTATGCAATATAAATATAAATGAGGCCCTTTGACCCAGACATTCTAATGGCTTTAATAAAAATTACTGTGCTACTATGGAGTTGTTCCATAGTCTTTGTTGTTGTTGGTTTTGGTTTTTATAAGACAGGGTCTCTCTATGTAGTTCTGGCTGTCCTCACAGAGATCTGCCTGCCTCTGCCTCCCTAGTGCTGGGATTAATGGTGTGTGTCACCATACTAAGCCCATATTATATTTTAATTACAAAATTCATAACTGAATAAATTTCTGTCACGAGAAACTCAAATGCAGGAAGATGCAACTTAGCCTGATGATTTCTTATTTAGTTCCACTGATGGCAGATTAGTCAGCAAACCCTTACGGAGGATGTTTTCCACTAAGAGTCAGACTTGGAAATGCCTTGGCTATTTTTACAAGCTGACCTGATGGATAATTCCTAGAGCACAATTACTTCAAGTATGTTTGTTTTTAAGACACCACTTTGAATGACTGAAAGCAGTGTGCGTGCCTGTGTGTGTGTGTGTGTGTGTGTGTGTGTGTGTGTGTGTGTGTGTGTGTAAGCCATCTGGTCCAGAAGTCAGTGTAGGGTGTCTTCCTCCATCACTGTACACCTTATTTTTTGAGACAGGGTCTCTCATTGAACCTGGATGTCACCAGGTCAGACAGTCCAGATGGTCCCAGAGCCCCTAGCAATCCTCCTGTCTTCACCTTCTCAGCACTAGGATTTGAGACATGTTTTGCCATCCCTGACTTTTTCCATGGGTGCTGGAGGACTGAGATCAAGTCATGATGATTGTACAGCAACCACATAGTGAGTGAACCATCTCTTTAGCCCCACCCTCCCCATTTGCAGACCCATTGGTCTGCAATATCAGGTGTTGCAACACTTTTCTTGGGAAGACATGAACAAATACCTGTTCACCTTAGATAGGCCACCAATGACAGATCAAATGAACTCAAACCAAGCTTGCTGAACCATAGTTCTATTGGGCTCACTTAGAGGAACAGGGGGTCTGCCTTAGTAACAGGAGCATAGGTAACCCCAAAACAGCTGGATCTCCAAAAAGTTCTTTTCCAGTGTTGGTGAAAAGTTCCCCAAAGCTTCATACATGTAGTGTACACACACACACACACACACACACACACACACACACACACACACACTTCAATTAATCTTCCCCTACTATATACTCCTCTTGAACCCATGGACATCTGGAGCAGAGTTATTTACAGCTAATGGGGTGAGAGGGAGACAAGAGGGAGTGGATGGAATCCAGGTGAGAACCTAATGATCTCCCTACTCCCTCCTTCTATGAGGAAATGTCAAAAGGACCTCTCTTGTTAGGGTCTAGTATGGATAATCACACTTGCTCTGATTATGATGGCTACATTATGCCTAAGGATGGCATTTTTGCAATATCCAGATATTGGGAAGATCCAAGACCTAATGAGGGAATTGTGATAAGCTCCATATGTGAAAATGGAAAATTTCTCCGCATAAAAAAATGCAGAATCTCAGACTTTGATGCAGCCTTCATGAGATCTCATCAATCACATTTAAAGCTTACATTTATGTCAATATATTCCTACTGTGTGAGATTCCATTTTCTCCAGATTATTCTACCAAAAAGCCCAACTTATTAAAACCATAACATCCATTCTTGGGTTCAAATTCCATTGGATACATAGAAGTCAGTTCTGCTCAACATCATGAGGCTGCAAACTTCTTCAGTAAGTAGCCGTGCTATAGCTTGGACATTGAGAACCCCACCAGCCCATGTGTTGAAGCCTTAGTCCCAGAGGGTGCTGTTAGGAAGTGTTGGGGCCTTTGAGATGTTGGCCTTGTGTGAAGTTCTTGCATCACTGGAGGTGTGTGACCGAAACAGGTGGTGGGATCCTGGCAGGCTGCCCCCTGTGTTTATTGACTGGCTGCACCATGCACTCCTGCTGTGATGTGCCACCCTTTCCAAGGCCCAACACAAAGGGAATATCTGATCTTGTTACCTCCAGAACCAACGAGCCAAAATAAATGTATTCTCCTTAAAGTTAATTGCCTCAGATAGTCGTCACAGTAAGGTGAGGCTGACTAATACAGGCCATCCATCACAGCTTACAGTAACTTGATGAGAGATTTCTGCTGGCATTAAAAGAAGAGCATGTTCTTTATTGGGGGAGATTATCGTACAGAATGACACATGGTCTGTATATTTCAGTTCTGTTGAAAGCGTCTGATAAATAACTAATACTACTGTTTAAATGCTGTGACTGCTATATTGTTATTCTTTTCAATCTCATAATTTTACCAGTTTGCTTTATGTATTGGCCTATACTTTCATTATAAAATAACATGATGACTTTACAGATATTATTTGATGGGTATCAGAACATACTGTCTAAGACATGAGACAAGAACATTGAAATCCTGCTGATGTAAGCAAGCATTCTCAGGCCTGGATTTTTGCCCCACTCCCACCAACCTTCTACAGTACCCTGAACAGGTCATTCCACCTCACTTAAAAATGGTAAGGGTTGAACTAAACGTTCCATTAGCATTCTCTCCAGCCTCACATACTATTTTTCACCCCTCTGTCTCCTGTGGAGAGTATTGAAGAGACAGAGAATACAGCTCCGACCTTCAGCTCAATTCTGATTTAAGTTGTCAGTAACTCTCCACTTACATAAACTGTTTAAAGCCAGGGTTGCTTTTCCTGTCTCTTTTCAGAACACTTTTCTCCAGGAAACAGTGCGCAGAGAGTGTGAAGAACGCTTTGAACTGACAGAGGCTTTGAGTCAAGCCAGAGAACAGCTCCTGGAGCTCAGGAGGAATGGAGGAAGCTTACCGTGTTCCCTCAACAAGGGCACCCTAACCTACCCTGCCACCGCTGTCAGTAATCACCATGAGCGAAGCAGCAGCGTGAGACAGAACTGTGGACGAGGCACTAACACACCCAGCCTGCATGGACTGCCAAAACCCACTGCTTCCCCAACCCGGGATAGGCTCAAGAAGGTCAGCAGCTCCGGGCTGCCCGCCCTTCCCCAGCCATATCCTTCCAGGGGCCGAACATCCTCGGTAAATGAGTCCAGGCAGAGGCTGACTGCCATCCTTCTCCGAAGGCTGAGTCAGCAGTGATGGCCTGAGCCAGGAGCAGTTCTGCCCACGGCGTACACACCCTTTCACAGCATGCCAGAGACTCACTGCAACCGGGTGCCCGGAAACAAATGTGTCTGTAGATATATTTAACAAGCAATGTAAAAGCTAGGAACCGTGGAGCCACATTTCTCAAAGGGCCTTGGAAATTGCAACATATAATGAAGTTGTACTCCAGAGGGTTGACTTCTACCTTCATGTATATATTGTATGCTCTGCGAGTCTGGCCTTTTCGGCTTCTCCCCCTCAATCACTTCCTGTCTCTCATCCTCCCCTCCCTTCCTGCTTTCCTTTCATAACAAGCAGATCATCTCCACAAAAAGTAGATTACATTGGTTTAATTGGTATTTGTTCATTTGTTTATTGAACTAAGTAGATGTGATAAGTACTCCAAATAGGAAAAGAAAGTCTTTCATTTGCAAAGTTCTTCCTTCAAATACTCCCAGAGTAATAACCATCATCAAAGGCCCCTTTCTCTCAGCCTACCTGGTTATCTGACTGCTCTGTAGGCTGGGTCGGAAGTAATAACAGAAAGCCTCATGGAAGACCATCTACCAAGAAGCTGGGGGCCTGCTACAAAATGATGGTGACTCCCATTCAGGGAAAAGTGATTTGATTCTCAGATTATGAGTAATATTTCAGAAAACAGAAGACATGACCGTGAAAATATTTCTTGGTGGCTATTTTCTTTACTGAATGATTTCTGGGTATCCAGCTGAGTTGTATTGAACTTCCATTCTCCAGCCATTGGGAAGAAACTAACACAAGGCGGCTTAGTAAAAGGAACGGGAACGTAAAGCTAATTTGGATTCAAAATTGATTACCCTTCGAAATGGGTAACTGATTACAGTGTCTATTCTCGGGGTGAGAATGGAAAAACAGGGTCTGCTATTTTAAGTTATCTTAAAGCTACCAGCTCACAGGGTAGTTCTTCTTACCTCAGGCTAGTGCGCCTCTGGCTTCTCCATCTGATATTTGTCTTTATGTTTTGGAGGGGTGAAAAAACAACTTAAATCCTCCACTTGCTTTGTCATGGATGTTCAGCTTTCTCCTTCTCTTGTAAGGAAGACAGTAACACGTGTAACTATAGCACAGTAAATTATATGTTTTGCTGCAGTATTGAAAAAAAAAAAAAAAAAAAAACAGGAACCTGGCATCCTTAGCACTGCACAAGTGTAATATGACTAAACCAAATCAGAATTACTTCCTGTCTTTCTAAGGCATACTAGAGTGTTTTAACCTTAAGATAATGCCCCCAGTTTCCTGACTACTTTAGGTAGGAATCTTTGTGTTAGGACTGGGATACTTCCTGCCATTTTACAGAGATTGTCATTCTTCTTAGTGACATTTTACAAGAGAGCACAGCACCACATAAGAGTGGCTAGAGGGTGGACTATAAAGGCCACCCTAACCATCTCTGTAGATAGGAAGTAGACCAAGAGCATGTGACCTGGCTGGAGGTGTATACTCAGAGACAGAAGTGAGACTGCCGCCACGTAATCCCAGTCTTTCCCCCAAGCCTCCATCATGATCGTTGTTAGCAGCAACAACCCTACAGTTAATTAATAGTTGTCCTCTTTTAAGTGGACTCACTTTTCAAACTTGAGTTTGTATAAGAAGGAAAGGTGCTCCAGGGAAGAATAACTATAAAGTGACAAATATCCTTTGCTAATTATATTGTTTCTAGTGAATGCTAATATAAATGTGTATCTGTTAAAATAAGAAATGTTAATAGGTGTTCCCCTTCCCTGATGTCATCTTGTGTAATGCAGCAGGGACCACTGCACTAGATCTCCTGGTTCTGAACTTTGTTTGCACGCTGAATTATAAATACCTGTGACATAAGGTAGACGGTAAAGTGAGCAAAGGCACAGAACATCTTGGGCAACAATCTCTACCACCAGGTGAGACATGCTTTTTCACTGCTTTACAATTTCATCTCCCCTTGCAGGAGTCATAGGCATACAGTGAGTTTCTTTATTTTTACTATGAATACAGGTCAATAAGGAAAGTCACATGTAAGCTTTTCTAAATGAATATAAAGACTACCATTGCAAAACCTGGTTTCTTAGTTTATTGATACACTCTCGCTTTATAATGAATGGCTGTAACTCAGAATGGAACCATTGTCTGTCATGAGGTTGTGTTATATGCTACAAAGGTATCCAAGAAGTATATGGATAAACAGAAAACTGGTAATTACATTTAGTCTAACCAGCATCATCTGAGTAGCACAGATTGAGCTATGGGCATATGTACTAAAGAAAGACGTCCTAAAAGGTGGCACAAGAACATGTAACCTAGAGGTTAAAAACACATCTTGATTTTATCAGGGACGGACCCATGGCATGAAAGAGTATCATGAATGGTAAGAAAACAGTGAGGGGCTAGAGACATGGTTCAGTGATTAAGAGCTCTTGCTGCTCTTGGAAAGAGAACCCTGGTTTGGTTCATGTCATCCACATGGCAGCTCAAAGCCATCTAACTCTGTCTGGACTTGATGTCCTCTTCTTACTTCTGTGGGCACTGCACACAGGTGGTACACATACCTGGAGAAACACCCATTTACATAAAGTAATATAATACTTTTAAAATAATAAGTAATTTTAGATCTCTGAAGTTTCTGAGCATCTTGAGTTATAGGTTAGTCCTAACGCTATCCACTTACTTGTTTTTTCAACAGATATGGAGACTTTCGTGAAAAAGCATTGTGAGAGCTTTAAAAAAAAAAAAGACATATTGTAGATCCTGGGACTTATATAGTAGGGGTCAAGAATAAAGCATATGCAGACATAATATAGATGAGAGGTATTGAGTAAAAAGTTGAGGGCAAGGTAATAGACAAATCTGAGTAGAGGAATCAGGAAAGCTTCAAAAAAGAATTGGCATATACAAGTCTTTTAAAAGAGGTGCAGAATTGTACATAAAAAGGTATAGCAGGTAAAAGAAATGGACAAATGTAGTCGCAGACAAAGGAAAAGTAGAAATCATTTGTGAGAGGTATGTAGCAACAGCTCAAGTGCCTGATAGACTGATCCCATTGCATAAGGGTATTGAATAAGGGCCAGTGCATGTTTTCAGCTGGAAGTGGCATGTGCTTTGCTGAAAATTAGGAGCCTTGTCCTGGCAAGGCTTTCCTGGGGTGTTGAAGAATGGGAGGGCTGGAGGATGCAACAGCAGCTGTCAGACAGTGAGTAGTCCAGACAAGTTAATGAAGTTCTAATGAAGATATTGGTGTTGGGAATAAGTAATAGGCATCAGATTAAAATTCTGTTCAGGGTAGGGAAAGGAGTTTTTTCACCCACTAACTGCAATTTGAAATTATTGTCAACCCTTGACAGGAGTACATTTGATGAGCATGGCTCTCACGAGAGGATATTCTCTATTTAAGAATATGTGATGATACCTTGTTTGTATAACAAATAAAGCTTGCCTGAAGATCAGAGGGTGGAGCTAGCCACTAGCTAACCATAGAGGTCTGCAGGTGTGTACAGACAGACAGGAAGTGATCAAGCAGGAGGAGACAGGTGTTCAGTGTCTTTTCAGCTGGGAAGTTGAGGAGGAAAGGTGTGGCTATGGTTTGCTCTCTCTGATCTTTCAGCATTTAACCTTATTTCTGACTCCGGGCCTTTATTATTAAGACTCAATAGAATTCGTGTTACAAGAATGTTATAGCCTCTCTGAATAATGTGAACTAGTAGGAACTGCATTTCATTTGGGCTCCCACAAGCTACTACACGTAAGAATGCCCCCTACAGGAGCACACAGATCTGAAAAGTGTTGTAAGAATAGTGGAGGAAGAGCGATAAGTGGACATTAAGCAGAAATAATTATATCTTGACTCAAAGAGTGAAGGAACAGCTAAACTGGGGGATTCTGGAGTGATGCTGTGCAATAAAACCTTCAGATTTTCACTGTTTATGAAGGGAAATAGAAAAGAAAACACTGAAATCAAAGTAAGGGTTATCTTAAAATCATCAACATTTTATGGTACTGAAGAGTACCTGTAACATCACTTGGCCTAGCTTTATAATTTCATGCAAGTAGATAATAGTTCAGTTAGTTAATTAGTTTTCTATTTGCATAACTATGTAACATCAAACTGAAGTAAAGAACCTGGGCTTCAGCTTCAGGCTTACACATCTCATTTCCAGACAAAGAATGTGATCAGCGTGCCAGCTTTTTCTACTCCAAGTCAGTCTTCCAGCAAGATCAGCATCCGCTGGCAGATTGTTAGAAATGCAGAATTTCTCACCTCACACCCAAACCCCTCATCTCCCCTCTTCTTCCTCTCTTCTCCTCTCCCTTCCTCTCCCCTCCCCCCACCCTGGCACACACTAAGCACTCTATCACTGATCTACAACCCCAGCCTGAAGCCTGAAAGAGATTCTCAGGAGATTTGTATTTGCATTAAGGATGGGTGGGTACATTGCTCGTGATCGAGTAATCCACATCTCCTTACCACAAGATAGACAAGATAGCCTTGCTGTATGTAGTTCCTCCTGCCTGAGTGAAGACAGATGAGGACACCCCCTGACCATGTACCACATTGACCCATTTAACACCCATTTCCAGGGCATTAAGATTCTTCTATGTGTCCATTGATTGTGAATCCGTAACTCTCCAGGAAAACCGGTGCTTAAAGAAAATCAATATTCATTCCTAAAACTCTAAAATACATCAACACCGACAGCTCGTAGCCTAAGAACAGCTGGAGATTTTATTGTTTTAATCCAGTAGGTGAGGACACCCCCCCCAACCCCGACCATGCAAGCATTTTGGTTTTGATCATTGGCAACTCGTTGAATAATCATAAACTTTAATCTCATAGTAGCATATATTTGAATTTCTGTTTATTTTTGTAATGGTGATGCCCATTGTCTTCAGAGACTTGTGAAATACCAAATACTTGGGAAACTTTCCCGGGTGATTAAATAAACACAGTAAAATTATTCCTCCAGGAAGTAGTTGTGAATCACTTAAATATAAAACTAAATTGTGGCATTTCACCTGGATTAATATGTTTTGAAGGCAGAATTAACATTACCTAAATGGAATTCAGTTCAGATATGCAGCCTCACAAATCCGATTAACAATTAGGTGTTAAGTGTACTTGCCTGTGAGGGTCATGAGCTCATTTCCTGGGCAGCCATCTTCTTTAAATATGTCGTCCTTTCAGCATCGTGCACATTGTGTGAGGTCACCCGGAAACAACTGGAGACTCATTCTTCTCCTGTGCTCTTCTTCACAGCTCTTCTGCTGAGCCACATCTCCAGTCCAGAAAAGAGTGAAAGAGGCCAGTCATGGTAGCACAGACCTGTGATTACAGCCCCAGGGAGGTAGAGGCAAGAGGATCACTACAAGTTCAAAGCCAGCCAAGGCTGCATGTAGAGAGCCTCTCAGTCAATCAATCGATCAATGTAAAAATAACAAGACAGACTGACTTCACCTGCCATTTAAAAGTTTAATAACTCCTACTAGCATGTTTAGTGTTGATACTTGTATAGGTAAAATTAAAAATAATTCTAATAGTTGAGTAATTCAAACACAACCATTAGACATGTGTAACTTAGGATATGGAAGCATTTGGATGCTTTTCTAAGATATCAGTGTGAGGAGGATTAAGGCTGGCAGTAGATTTATTTGCTGAAGATGTGAGCATCTGGCTCTGCTGGCCTGCCAGCGCTGTCTCCATCTCCCAAGTGAGCTAGATTCGGCCTAGCACATTAATCTAGAGAGATCTCTCTGTCTTCTGTCTTCTTGAAGCAAATGAGTTCTCCAGTTGTAATTTTCTATCCAAAGCCTTAAATTTCTAGGGAATTAAGGTCACCGCCAAGACTCAAGTGACTTCTTTCCACTGATTGAAAGCAGGGTTACTGAAAACCCAGAGGAGCCAACTTTCCACTCACTGGTACCAAACTTTAAAATAATGTATTTGAGGTCTAAGCCTGGGTTGCAAGGCTCAAAGCTGGAATCATTTTCTTTTTCCGTGTAGTATACAATACTTAATATAGAAACTGAGATATGTACTTTTGGTGAGTTAAAGGAAAAAAAAAAAATCCACCACTTTAACAGCCCTGGGCGTAGACGTGTTCCCTCCAGGCCCAGGCATAACTTTTACTGATGTTCCCTAAATTAAAAAGGGAAAAAAACTATCTCTTGCACGAATTTAGGTTGGAATCTTAAGTAATTAGAAGTTTAAGTAGATGTTTTGGGGTATTTTAAAAGTAACCAGAATATTACGAATATTGGCACTTGTAAAATTTTTAACTTTAAGATTACTTTGTATGACTGTAAAACCTTTCTTGAACTACCATATTAAGTTACTATAAATACATGTGTAACTTTCTGTAGCTTTTCTGGTTTGAGCTGCAATCATAGTTATTATTGCTATGTCAGCCTTAAGATGACATAAGTATATGTTTTAATGAATAATTCTGAATCACAAAATTAAATTTTATTAATAGCACATTTCTGTTTTTAATTTAGTGTGTGCAGCTGTTTGATAGTGTGTGTGAGCGTGCAAGAGCCACAGTGTGTGAGTAGAGGTCAGAGGACACCTTTTGGGATTCAGTTCTCTGTTTCCACTGTGGACTTTGGTCCTCAGAGTTGCACATGGCCTTGACAGTGCTTTCCTGGTGTGCTGGACCATATCTTTTTATTTATGTTTAATGGAAAATTAAAATATATCTAGGGATGGTAACTGATGCCTATAATCCTAGCAGCTGACAAGCTGAAGCAGAAGGATGGTGAGTTCAAGGCCAGATTGGACTACACAATGAATTATTGGCCAATTTGAGCTATGAAACTCTGTCTCACAAAGTCTATAATGATGTAAGAAGAAGAACAGGAAGGGAAAGGAAAGAAGACATGTACAGAAAAAAATAATGGTTGACTAATCTGTATATAGGATATTAGTTACTTTGAGACAAGTCTTGCTGTGTAGCCCAGGCTGGCCTTGAGCTCATGATCTTCCCTGCCTCAGTCTGGGATTATGTGTATGTACCATCCTTCTGAGAATTCTTAATAACTGGTAAAAAGATTCAACATTTTAAAAACTTCTCTCTGGCATATCTGTAATATACTAAATGAAAGTATATAAATAAATGTTGATAAATTATAAATTTGAATTATACTTTAAAGAATTGGTGATACTAATGTCTACTACATCGGTTATTTAAAAATTCTTTATAGCTAATTTGAATCCTAGGCACAATCACCAAGTAGAAGGGTCCTTATAAAAGTGCATTTTGGGAGGAGACAATCTGAGCTTTTCTTACTAAAGTCCCTTCTGTCTTGCTTTAATAAACTGCTTCAAGCATACACTTTGGCACAGGGTATAAGGGAAGAAAATGCAGTAGTCCAGTAGTGTTTTGTTCCCATCACTGTACTTTACCTTGAATGTGAACTCAGAAAATTCCAGCATAGACCAAAATGTCAGATGTCTACACTGTACATGAGCAGGAAATACCAGAAGTTCTGCAAGTGTACATACTGTGAGCTCAAGGTTGCTGACCAGGTCATGATCCTATTTGTACCTAATTAGGTTCCCAGAGACCCACAATCCAGTATGGAGGCTGTTCTGCCTTCCCTCAACCTACTACCATTCAGGAGTGTCAGTGGCCATTGAAGTTTTCTTTGTCTCATCGAACCTAGATTCCTAGATAACCAAAGAAGCAATGAAAGGAAGTAATTACACTGTTCCTGGTTTTTTGTTTTGTCTTGTTTTGTTTTGTTTTGTTTTTCGTAACCACATCTCTGTGGAACCACTGGTAATACTTTTAGCCAGGGAGACCCTGCAGCCAATCAAGCCCAGGACTTACAGAGTCTTAAGACACACCTCTCAAGGAAGTTGGAAATACAGCCGCTTGTAGTAGGGACAGAAGTGCATGCAAATTGGATTTGAGGTTAGACAGCCTGAAATTCATTGTAGCCTACATGATGTGTGTTCTAAGCCAACAATAGTTCCTGTCATTAAATTCTTACTTTTACAAATCATCTTGGAACAAAAGAAATTGTTTATTCACCTAGACCCTGACTGTAGTCCACAGAGCAGAAATGTTAGAGGTTTGGGGGTTACACTTAACAATTTAGGGATAGCTTGAAGGCCTTTAAAACTGGTCATCTAACCATATGTTTTTTCTGCTATCAAGGATTGGATCTGCTGATGAAGTGCTTTGCCACTGAGCTAGTCCCATAGCAATTAACCATTTCTAATTTAATGTTTTAAATGCCTGATGCATTCCGGTGGCATTTGTGTGCACTCTGTCTTTCTCAGCTCTGATATTCTAAATATCCTGACTTTAACTTCATAGACACACTGTTAATTGCCCATGATCCTTAGATACCTAGCGCTCTTGCAACCATCCATACAGCAAGAGAGCATGCTGTTGCAAGGGCACAGGACAAGACATCTCATTGGGTCTGAGGACATATACCCAATTGAGTGTTCACACACTAACTGCATTTCAGCCAAAAAATCTTTATGAACTATTATTAATTTCTATTAAGATGTATGTTTCTTCTGTGTGAAAATAACTAAACCTTTAATGAAGACAAGAGTGTATCCATGAACTATTTAAGTCTGGCCATTAAAGGTGAACTGGAAACTCTTCTTCCAAGTTTGATGCCATGGTTTCAACATAGAGCTCTCATTAAAGTTCTGAATTTCCTGGAAAAGTGGCAAGGGTTTTGTCTTAGTCATCCTCCTTTGTCTTTGGATTTAGTCCTAGCACTCCCCAGGGGATAATTTAGCCTGAAGTCTCCCTACTTATCTGAATGTATCTGAAAGTGGACCTATTACACTTCCCTGGCAGACTCAGGCTAGGATCAGAGGGTCCCTACAGGTCACTGAGGGATTTTCCTTGATTATCAAAAAGCCATGCATGAAAAGGCCCGGGGCCATCTCCACAGGCTTCTGCCGTGTCCCTGCTTTGTTCTTGAAGTTTAAAGCAGAATTGGATTTCCAGTGTAGATGGTGCGACATCTGGCTAGCAGGTCTAGGGGCAGCAGCTGCCTTCCATTCACCATTTAGAACCTGATAATGGAAAAGGGCAGCAGGCAGACACCAGGCAGCAGCAAGAATTTGGGCCCCTTTGTTATGCCACATGGTTCTGCCCCTCTAGATGCCAAGGCTGCTTTGCTGAGAATATAGAGAGATGTCAATTCCTTAGGATGGTTGCAGGGAAGCCTCTGTGGGTGGCAGAGGACAGAGAAAGGGGGCCAAAGGTGTCACAGCCAGGACAGAGGAACTTTCCAGGGCACCAGAAGAATGAGTAGCATGAACAAAGAAGCTGCAAGAGTGAAGCCCTTTGTGGCAGGATGGTACCAACCATTATGGGGTTAATGGAAACAATAACAGCTAATGTTTATGGTTATAAAGGGCAGAGCACCTTGCCAGGGGTTTGAAATGCATGCCACTTACTTGTCACCAGAGCAACTATTAGCTTCCTTCTCCAGGTGAGAAGACAGAGGCACAAACTAATCAACCTTAGGGCCTAGCACAGCTAATAAATGGCAACCCTTGGCCTAGGAGACAAGATAGTACAGATAGGGAATGGTAGTATGGTCACTGCATGTCACATGGTCTTCCAAGTATGTGCCAGAAAATAGACTGTGATCTTCATCCCTGAACAATCTGAACACCATCTCTGTACTCTTCTGACAAAGAAGTTCAGCCTCATCTGAGGACAAACATTTTACAAGAGGCAATAAAGGCAGCTTCAAATGTATGGAGAATACATTATAGAGCAAAAGAGAGTATGTAGACAGACCTGGAAAATATCTTAAAATCCTTTAGGGGGTCCTATAGAACGTAATTTATATCCTATAAAAATGAAATATTGTAGTCTTTATATTACATTTAAAAAATAATTTCCTATATTAAACCTTTAGGTAGTGTACTTCCATACTTATTTCTAAATAATGTTCCTACATGGGGAGATAATGTTTCTCCTAGAAGCCATAAGTTTTTAGGCAAAAATCTTAGTGCCAGGTGTTTAATACCTCCCTTTGAGCTTTTTGTCAAAGAGCATCCAGAGGCCCCCAAAGTAATACAAAGAATTACCATTGTGTCTGGTTGCCTGCAAAAAATTGATGGCAAGATTTTGTTGCTGAAGACACCATGCACAGTCACAGGATATAGAGAAACCAAGCTGGAACTGAGTTAGAATCTATCTTCCTTCTAGATAGCTATCATATTTATGGTAAGTGCTATGGAGGCTGCTATGGGAGAAGTCATCAACAGTCTTACCTAGCTGTGAGACACAATGATGAGCAACCTGGAAAGGCATGCCCATTGATGCAATAGTGGCACAG